ACTTGGAGTAGGGGAGAGCCTAGTAAACATAATGTTCTTTCTGTAATTGCAGATTAATGATAACAAAATAAAAAAAAGAAAAGAAAAAAAAGTGCAGAAGACCTACTACGGGATCCAATAAATACTAGGCACTGAAATTGTTGAAATAAATAATGATATTGTTGAATGAATGAAGAAAATTTTTCCTAAAATGTAAACCAAAAATTTTTACAGAATTACAATAGTCAAATACTTATCTACAATGAGTTCAAGAAAATTATATATAATTTCTCAATTGAAATATTATCTATATAGTCAATGGCTCTACATCCTTTATTATTCCTTTTCTCTCTATAATCCTTAATAAGTCTTCATACGATAAAAATAAATAAATAATATGTGCCCTATAAATATAAAGCATACACCCTAACATTGAAGAAGATATTTTTAAAAGGCTTTTGACAGGGTAAGAAATAGTCACAACACTGACCACCACCTTCCCCACAAAAATTATCCATTGCTTTTCTATTGGCACCGAAAGGTTTCTTTCTCATCAAATGATTTTGTTTGTTTTAAGGGAGGAAGCATGATGTAACAAATGAATACAGTCCCTGGAATGTTCTGGTAAACCTGATTTGGGATCCTGGCACCTGGAATGACACATTGTGACACTAGGGCAAATCATTTAATCACTCTGGGTCTCAGTTTCCTTGTATGTAAAATGACGTAGTCCTACTTAATATGTAAGGGTGTGGGGAGGACTAAATGGAACACCATATAAGAAATGCTTACACAATATTTGCTCAATAAATGTGAGCTCTCTTCTCTTCTGTGTCCTTTCCCATTGAGAACATAAATCGTACTTCCTAGACACTTGCAATTTTCCCAACACTCAACAGAGTAAATGAGTAAATTGAAGCACAAAGAACTTGACATTTGTGAAAGAATACCAGGAAATACAAGTCAAAAACTATAAATTCCTATGTAAATTATTATGTAAACCAGGCATATGAAATAGACATTTCTTCTACAGATTTAGAAAGTCAGTAAATATGCCCAAGGACCAACTGCACAAAAAAATTAAAGGATATGATCTGTAAAGTGGGTCAATTTGTGTCAATCATGAGTGGAATCATAAAGACTAGCAAGAGAGAATTCCATTATTTTAGATCTAGAGGACTTAGCTGAATCGTAAAGGGGCTCTCACCTGGGTAACTAGGATAGCCAGACAGAGCGGAAGCAGCAGTGACAACTGGCTTACCTTGTAAATTTCCCCAGGAGTCTGGTCTACTTTATTACCCTCCCCACTATACCATCTTAGCAGGAAGACTTTACTACTCCATTTCTGGTCTTCTTGGCCTATTGCTTATCTATACCCATTTCTCATTAAAAATATAGATGCAATGTTTAAAACACATTTTTTTAAATTGTGTATTTGTAATGAACTGTGCTGATTTGGACAGTTACAGAAGTAGATACTAACCTGTATGCCAGTATGTGTGCAGGCTAATTTTGTAAATTCAATACATCTGCCATCATTCACATCCCAGAGGCACATCTCTCTATAAAACAAAATAGCTAACTTAAAATCTAATTTTTAAAAGTTCTGTTCAACTCTGTCACAGCGGTTTAAAATCAATCTTCCATTTAAACTGATATAGTTCAGAAGTAGTGCATAGTCATTAATGTTGTTCATCAAACAATCCTGGTTCTCCCACTCACCATCCCAACCCCTGTCCCCATCCACATTCTTTCTGGTTGCACACTAGGGCTCCACTTTCTGATTCCCTTTTGGCTGATGGAGCTTCGTGAGCAGCTCTGGCCAAAACTGAAGCAAGGCCCTGCAGAAGTCTCTCTCTCCTCTGCCTCCACTCCAGACAGTGGCTGCTTCGGACGGTGCTTGCTCCCTCGCCCTCAACCTCAAAGTGAGAAGAATAATGGAGCAGAGCAGAGCCCCAAGGGATGTATGAGGGGCAAGTGACAAAAAAAATGCAAACTTTTGATTTAAACCATAGCTAGAAGATTTAGCACAAAAGAAAAAATATAAAGTCAACTGAATTCCAAAAGTTTAGAAATTAAATATGTTTTCAGTTTTCATTCTATATTTACTATAGGAGTTTTATTGAGTACATACCAAAAAAAAGCTCATGTCTCAAACTGAACACATAACATTCAAAATCAGAAATGTTGATACACCTTGCCTTTTAAAGAAATAAGATTTATTTAACAGAAGACAACATGAATAAAATGTAATGATCCTGATATTATGAAGGTTTTCTATAAGATCCCCCTTCCTAAATCTCAGATGGTATTAAACAATTTTTCAAGGGACATTCAACCTATTTAGAATATGCCTCCTAGTGAGAATTATCCTTTAATTGACCAAAAGGCACTATATGTTGCCGCTCTTGTTCCAAACAGTAATACTAGGTTCTCTTCAAACATAAATTAATGATGGGGGGGAGGGATAACTTGTTAAATAATTCTCTTCTAGTTCTCTAAATCTCTTTAATAACATACTGTGTAAATACACAATTTTCTAAGCACCAAGAAAGTTTTAAAAATTCCTTACATTCTGAACCCTACACCTACCATCCAATGACCCATCTCTCCAAAAACAAGTTATATTCTGAAACTTAGGAATATATATATACATACAGTTACATTAGTGTATTAACATACATCTACTGCATGAACTTTTGCATGACTTCATCTTGCAAATTTATGCTAGCCTAAAATCATTCAGGTTTTTTTTAAACTCTCAAAATAGTTTGCCAACTCAATAAAAATGCCATGGGGATTAATAGTCAAGCTTTAACTCCTAAGTTATTCTGAGTTTCTCAAAAGCACGGCAAAGATGAATCATGAATTATAATAAAAGTATTATAAAAACCATTTATAAAGATAAAATTCACATTTTTAAAATAAAGATATTTCAAATATCTTTAAGTTAAGACCACTGAAGCATTTATATTAAAAATACTCAGAGAAAAAAAAAACCTACCTACTTACCAATATACCAATACTATTTGCAATAAAGACTTATGAGGAAAAAAGTGAATAAAAAAAAATACTTACCCACTATCAGATGCACTCACAATATACTGTTTGTCACTAGAAGCGCAAGCTTTAGACAAACAGGTGATTGAAGCTGTATGACCAAACAATAGTGCTCGAGGATTAACCTGAAAATACACAAATATGTTGATGTAAGTGCCAAATTAAAAAAAATTAATTTTTAAGGAATCCTGTTAAATATCCAATACAAATACTCAGATACAGATTTGAGAAGGCTATAGAATTGCTCAGAACACCAAAAACTAAGAACAGAAAAATAATGATTCCCACTCTTTTAATGCTCACAATCACCCTCGCAGGTAATTCTAAGGTCAAAACCAGAACACCAAGAAGCGGCATTATTTGCCTGATATCATACAGAGAGTGATGGAGCCAGGATTCAAACCAGGGCAGTCTTAAGCACCAAGTTCTAGTATATGGGCAGATAAGGTTTAAAATGTGAATTAGTATATAAAATGAAGTGATTTAACCTTACTTTTAAAAAAATAATACCTTCACTGATTTGAAAACACATTTAAGTCTCTATCATTGTGAAGCACAAAAAATACAGGACAGGTACCCTCCTAAATGTTGATGCCAATGTTAGCTCTCAGGAACTAAGAATGACTTTCACAGACTAGTGATTTAGTGACATAGGACCTTACAAAAAGGATGGTTTAGTACCCCTTATTCTAAAATTAGTCTAGCAATTAACCCCCAGATTTATCTACCTTTGTACCAAATGGCATGCTATAACTCCAGGTTACTTTGGAGCCTTAGATTGTTTCAGGATATATTAATATTTAATACATACAAATAATATTTATAACATATGTAGAAGAAATAAAGAATATATTGAATAACCACATACACAGTTAAAAATCCTCAATACTCAATACCCAGTTAAAAATACTCTATACTCAATACCCAGTTAGAAATACAGAATTCGACCAATACCTTGAAAGCCGCTTTGTACCCTTCATGATTTCACATTGCAAGAAATTTATCCTAACCTACTAGGAAAGCTAGATCGTTCAAAATTAAATAATCCATTGGAAAGAGTATTTAGATTGTTCTATAATTCTGGTATGTTTCAATGGAAGAGATTTTCCAAATGAAATTATCTTGGCCATCTTTTGCATAGTTATAATTAAGAAAAAATTCCAATCTTTGTTTATGGTTACAATAGACCTAGAATATTTTCTTATATTTCTAAACTTTTCTCATAATCTAACACAATCTCTATGTAGTATTCAGTATTCATTCACTGGAAAAAATGCTCTCAGTCAATTTTTTAATTTCTCCCATGAAAATCAGATTTACCAATAGTTTTATTTCCATTGTGCACAGCTTTGCTGGAAAATTCCATTTTCAGACATAAGAGAGTAACTAAAACTAGGCTTTACTTCACCATTACCTAAAAAAATGAGCAAAAATATAAAAATCACATGATCATCTTGACAGAGGCAATAAAAGCATTTGACAAAATTCAGTATCTTTTCATGAATAAAAACTCTTAACAGATTTGGTACACAAGGAATGTACCTCAACATAATAAAGACCCCATATGACAACCCACAGCTGACATTATGCTCAACAATAAAAAGCTAAAAAGTCTTTCTTCTAAGATCAGGAACAAGACAAGAATATTCATTCTTGTCACTTCTATTCAACATAGCATTGGACGTTCTATGTTGTGGTTTTCAAGTGAATTTTAGAATAGTTTTTTCCTATTCTGTGAAAAATGCCACTGGAATTTGGATAGAATTGTATTGAGTCTGTAGATAGTATTGGATAATATGGACATTTTTTTTAATACCTCAAATAGCCAAAGCAACCATAAGAAAGGAAAACAGAATTGGAGGCCTCACACTTACTAATTTCAAACTATTTTATGAAGCTGTGATAATCAAAACAGACATACAAAACAGTCATAAAAACAGATATACAGGCTAAAGGAAGGGAATCAAGAGCCCAGGAATATGGCCATGCATGCACAGCCAACTATATGATAAGTGTACCAAGAACACATTGGGGAAAGGTCAGTGTCTTCAATGAACAATACAGGGAAACCTGGATATCCACATGCAAAAGAATGAAACAGGACCTCTATATTACACTAACCTCAAAAGATAACTGAAAATGGATTAAAGACTTAAATGTAAGATCTAAAACCATAGACACCTTAAGAGAAAACATAAGGGGAAACCTCCTAGACATTAGTCTTGTCAATGATTTTTGGGTATGATACCAAAAGCATGGGCAACAAAAGCTAAAATAAACACATGGGACTACATCAAACTAAAAACTTCTGCACAGCAAAAGAAACCATCAATTAATGAAAAGGTAATCTACAGAAAAATATTTGCAAACCACATATCTGAGGTGGTAATATCCAAAATATACAAGGAACTCCTATGACTCAATAGCAAAAACAAAACAAAACAAAAAACAAGAAAATAGATAATCCTATAAAGAAAAAAGCAAAGAGCCTGAACAGGTATTTCTCCAAAGACATACAAATAGCCAATAGGTACATGAAAAGATACTCAACTTCCTAATCATTAGAGAAATGCAAATTAATTCCTGTTAGGATGGCTGCTATCAAGAAGAAAAGAGATAACAAATGTTGATAAGAATGTGGAGAAAAGGGAGCCCTCGTGCACTGTTGGTGGGAAGTGATTTGGTACCACCATTATGGAAACCAACATGGGAGCTCCTCACAAAATTAAAAATAGAACCACCATATGATCCAGCAGTCCCACTTCTTGGTATATATCCAAAGGATTTGAAATCAGGATCATGAAGAGATATCTGTACTCCCATGTGCACTGCAGCATTATCCACGACAGCCAGACACACAAACAACCCAAGTCACCAGGTGGATAAAGAAAATGTACACACACACACACACACACATGCACACACACACAGTCCACAGAGGAATATTATCCAGCCATAAAAAATAAAAAGAAATCCTGACATTTGCAACAACACAGAGCATTACGCTAAGTGAAATAAGAGACAGAGAAACACAAATGGCATCACTTAGTGGAACCAAAAAGAAAAAGCCAATCTCATAGACACGGGGTTACCAGGATCTGGTGGGGAGAGAGAAACAGAGAGATGTAGGACAAAGGGACAAACTTTCAGTTAGATGAGGATCTATGTATGGTGACTGTAGTTAATAATAAGATATTATATACTTGAAATTTACTGAGAGTAGATCTTAAACATCTCACCACAGAAGAAAAAGTAAATTATCTATGTGAAGTGATACATATGTTAATTAACTTGTTCTTGGTACCATTTCACAATTATATAAAATTATCCTGTTGTGATTTACAACACATTCTATTTTATTTATCAGTTATTCCTCACTAAAAGCTGGGGGTGGAGGAAAACTGAAAAAATGAACAAATAAAAGAAAATTACAACACAAAAGAGAGAGAAAGCAGAGGACAAGTGAACACTTCACAATCCTTTCATGTGGACAGAATTACTCTGATACCAAAATCAGATAAACTCCAGACCTATAAAATTCATGAATCAAGACCAAAGAAACAAAAACACAAAAAGGGGAAAAAAAAAACAGTAATACATTAACAAAACAAATCCAGTAATATATAAAATAATACATTATGACCACTCGGACCTTATCCTGGGTATGTATGTTAAGGTTAATTTAACATTAGAAAGCAATGTTACTCACCATATCAAGTGAATAAAGGGGAAAAACCATATGATCATCTCAAAAGATGCAGAAAAAGCATTTTATAAAATTCAAAAGGCATTCATTATAAAAACTCCCAGCAAACTAAGAATAAATGGAAGCTATTCAATCTGATAAAGAGTATCTATGAAAAACCTAACACTAACACCGGACTCAATGGTGACCAACTGAATGCTTTCCCTCCAAGATCAGAAATATGGCAAGGATGTCCATTCCCTTCAACATTCATCACCGCACAAGAAGTCTTAATCAGCAATAAGGCAAGTAACTGCCTACCAAGAGAGTACAAAAAAGTAATAAAGGCATACACAATGAAAAGAGAAGAAGTAAAACTACCTTTATTCACAGACAACATAATCAGATAAAAAGAAAGTTCTAAGGAATCTAGAAAATACTCCACTAGACCAGAAGTGAATACAGCACAATCAACATGCTATATAGTCAGAACACCAGTCAAATGCCAAAAGGCAAGCATATGTCTAAATATTAGCAATTAACAATTATAAAATAAAAACAAAATTTATGGTTTCAGCATCCATTGTCAGATGGAAGCAAAAAAATTTGTAAATAAAACTATACTAAGTATATTTTCATAAATACAAAGTCAGCTAAAGAATAGAAACGTTTAAGACAATATTTTCATAAATTGATGTTTCTTTATGTTACTGAACCCCCCAAATCCAGATTCACATGCCCAGTGTGCTCAGAGTAAGCCCATCTCTGAGTCACTAGGTTTGAAGCACAGAAAGCTTTATTATCAGAAGGGCAGCCCAACAAGAAGACAGGGGACCTTTCCCAAATCTGCTTTACCCAATCAGCCTGAAAGACAGGTTTATACACTATTGGCAAAGGAATGTGGGAATTAGGACAGAAACTGCAAGGTCCTTCAAATTCTCAGAATTATACATTATACTCCAATCTCATTTTCCTGGCGCCACCTGAGGGGTCTCAAGGTGGTTCATGTTGACTCCATATATGGTATCGGTTCTGCAACATGGATGTTATCAACTAACATCATGCACGCACACACACACACACACATGCACATCATCCTATAACCAGCTTCAGGAAAGAGGACAAAGGACAAGATTGTAAGACAAAGTTAATGATCCTTGCAAGGTTGTACAGCACATAAGGTTATTATGGAGGGAGAGCCTACTGAAGGTATAAGTGAATAAAGAAATGTATGTCTGGGTTCATGTGAACAGAAACTCATTTATGTTTTCATTAAACAGAAGTTTTCTGGAGCTTAGAGGGGAAAAAAACAAAAAGATGGCTTTAACAAATGGCTCTAAATGACTACTAAGTGGCTAATAAGGGAAGATTAACCATGATACAATGATAACCATCCAAAAATACATCTATGCCTAGTATCAATGCTAGATCACAACAATAAAATCTTAACATCAAGAAACTTACAAAGAAAAAAGCATTAGTATAATCAGAGGAAGAAATAAATATATGGGTTATTTGTTTATTTTTATTTATATCTTTTATTTATATCTCACCATATTCCATAAGTATTTAAGTTATATCAGTTATTAATTAAACATTCACACATGATCAGTACAAATACAAAATAATTTGATTAACCAATTTATAAAGACCATCCATCTTCAAAGACCACACAGTTCAGAAAAGACAGCTATCAAGTTAGAAGTGGCAAGGCAAGATGATCAGAATAAGAAAATATGATGTGTTAGTTCTTATAGCCATGTTCCATCTGGGACCTGGAGTCCAGGTAGCTCTACTTTTCTCTTTTTCCATATTTTTAACCTCCCTTCTCTGACAACTCTCCCCAGGCATTTTTCTATAAAAGAGAACAGAGAACATGCAGTGGCAGTTGGCATGGAATGCAGGGGGCAAGAAAGTTGATTTTTAAAGTATTTCTTTTCTTTAACAGCCAAACTGATATAAAATTCTGATACCATACAATTCAGTCATTTAAAGAAACTGTGATATATATTATATATATATATAATGGAGTATTATTTGCCCATAAAAAAGAAAGAAATCTTGCCACTTGCCATAACATGGATAGACCTTGAGGGCACTATGCTAAGTAAAATAAGTTAGACAGAGAAAGACAAATACCATATGATCTTTTATATGCAGAATCTAAAAATATACATATTAAAAAAAATAACAAGCTTATAGATATAGAAAATAGATTGGTGGTTGCCAAAGGCAGCAGGTAGAGGAGAAGAAATGGGGGAAATGTTTTTGTCTTGTCTTCAGTATGGATGAAAATCTTTTGAAAAATCCTAAATGTAACCTCTTAAGCTAGTTTGGATAGATATTATAATTGGAAAATAGTGAAAGCCAGCAGAAGTCAACTCTGATGAATAATGTAAATAATCAATCTTTATAATACAAATTTTAGTCAAACTGTGTTTCACAGAAAATATATTATGAAGCCAAGTATTATTCTGGGACTGTGTTATTCTCTATTAAGTAGTTTTTGTACTTAACACATACAATAGGCATTTCAAATACTCACTTCCAATTCTCCTGAAAGATCCCAGAGACATATTTGTCCATCATGGCATCCAGTTATGATGGTGGACCCATCGTCTGTTAGAAGTACTGCTGAGATGCAATGTGTTGGCGCTTTGCGACCCCAAAGAACAATGGGGAGAACAAGGCTGTTTCCTGCCATTGTGCTTTTCAAACCTGGAAATGTTATAAGAATAATGTCAAATATTACAATATTTCCTTCTAAAACATATTATATACTTCTATTCTGAAGTGTTAAAAAAAAAAAAGAACACAGCCCAAGATGGGATCACTTCTTCTGGACTAAGTCACCAGTATGGTGCTTACTACTTTACCTAACAGCAGTTTCAGCCCCTCCCAGGAGTAGAATTTTAAGCCAATCAGACTGGAATTTTGATCTGTAAAAGACCCCCTGCTCCTCCTGAGCAAGGTGACCTTCCCTGAAACAATCCCTCATCTTTTTGCTAACAACTTTTTGTCCCATCTCCTATCTATAAAAACCTTCCATTTTGTACGACTCCTCAGATCATTTCTCTACTTGCTGCCCAACTCAGGAATCGCTTAATAAAACCAATTAGATCTTCAACTTTACTTGGTTGAATTTCATTTTTTATCAGAAGCCAACTCGAACTTAGTAAGTGCTGAGAATTCATGTAAACATTATGTATATGTACAAAATATGAAAATACATAAAAATCTCATTATTTTTATATCATTACATATATATTATCTAATTAATCCTCACAATATATCATGCAGTTAGTGTTATCACTCCTCTTTCACTAATAAAGACAGTGAGTCAAAAAGAATCACAAAGAAGTAAAGTAATGGCACCCACCTCAGAGCCCAGCCAGCCTGACTTCAGACCTATGGTTTTAACTCTGCTATGCGACCAATCTAGTTAAGTCTCTAAGCCAGTAATAAATAGCAATGCCCAAGAAAAACTCAGTGTTGCTTCACAATGTGCTAAACATTAAAAGAGGATGTTCAGTGAGAAACTCATTCAACCATATTTACTACAAGTCTATTATGTCTCAAGTTCATGAATGTCTTTCATTATAAACTGTAAAGTAAGGGGAAATTTTTCTCTTTAAACTCATTTCTGCACAATAAAAGTTTAGTTCTGTTATAGGGATTTGAATAATCAATTAACCAGCATATCCTAGAATACATCTTTTGCAGGAGAGCACAAATATAAGGAATTAATCCTTCATGTAACAAAACTGAGATCTAGTTGTTTAAACAACTAGATTTAAGTGTTATAAGCTGTGTGGTTAAAGATTTTACAAATACTAGTTCAGAGAAGCTAGGAAGAAATGCAGACTGGACTGATCAAAAGAGGGCTCTGTAGAAGACAGAAGACTGCCAGACCTTAGGAGTCACTAGGGGTCACCCATAGACTTGACAGATGGTCAATCAAAAGCAATGGTCATGATAGTGATTTTCTGCCAAAGATTTTTAAATGACACCAAATGCTACATGTGTAACAGAAGACACTCTAAAGTGGAAAGACTGTCTAAAGAAATTTTCAGAAACACTGAAAGAACAGCCATTTTCTACGAAAGAAACTAGTTTGATAGCCATGGTTTTACTGCTAGATGCTTTTAGCAAAAGTCTTGGTTTAAATCACTACCTACACTCTTTAAACAAATAAATAAAATCTAAAACTAAAGCCTTTTTAAAAAAAAAAAAGAAATGGTCACTGGCAAGAAAATGAGGCAAGTAAAAATTATGAATGACATTGGAATGCTAACTAAAATAAACTATATGTATTACATCTTTTATTTTTTGTTAGAATACATGGCTTTAATCAGTTTGTTCCCCCAAAATTTCATTCTTTGGCTACAACAATGTAAAAGATATTCATTTAAGGGAAAAATTCCAAGTTCACTTCTTGTTAATAAATCACTGTATCAGATTCACCCTTTGATAGATTACCATGAGTCTAATAATTATTTCCATATTCCCACTTGACATTAGAAAATGAAACAAAGAGCACTGAAACAATTTTAATAAATTTGGTACCACATGTTCCTGGCTGAATAACACATCCGACAATGACTTTCTCAAAAAGAGACTCTGGAAGGAGTTCATTTTTCCATGGTGACCACATTCAGTTTTAAATTCTATCACCCAAAGAAGATTTCTCTCAGTTAAATAAGCTCACAGCATTAAACACAATATGGTGAGATCTGGAAAAAACAGCATTTCTCTAGATATTTGAGGGCTCATATGCAATCTGCCTAGATTAAAAGGAATGCAAACATAGCTGACCTTTGAACAAAACGGGTTTGAAATGCATGGGTCCACTTACATACATATTTTGTTCAGTAAGTATATTGGAATATTTTTGGGAGATTTGTGACAATTTGAAAAAACATTCTCTTTTCTTTAGCTTCCTTTATTGTAAGAATACAGTATATAATACATAAAACATACAAAAGTGTGTTAATTGGCTTTTTATGTCATGGGTAAAGCTTCTAGATAACAGCAAGTTATTAGTAGTTAGATTTCTGAGGAGTCAAAAGTGATATACAAATTTTCAACTGCATGGAGTGTCAATGTTCCTTAACCCCCTGCACTGTTCAGCTGTACACAGATTCAGGTCTAAGAAATCTTAAACATCTTCAGTAAACACGATGTGTAAGATGCTATCTATAATTTAGTCATTAGTATTTACTTAATAACCTGATCCATTTTAGAGACTAATTCACTGACCTTAAACTAAGACAGAAAGCCTCTGCCTTCCATGTCAACTACAACCAAACCAACGGATGTCCAATGAATTACCTAAAACTCCAGATAGGAGGCGGAGCCAGGATGGCGGCATGAGTAGAGCAGTGGAAATCTCCTCCCAAAAACACATAGAGCTATGAAAATATACCAAAGTAAAATCTTCCTAAAATAGAGACCGCAGGACACAGGACAACATCCAGACCACATCCACACCTGCAAGAACCCAGCGCCCCGGCCCGGCGGGACCCGAGCGCCCCTCCCCCCGGCTCCCGGCGGGTGGAAAGAAACCGGTGCGGTTTTTTTTTGGCGAGTGCTTTTTGGAATCCTTAAAGGGACGGGCCCCCATTGCTAGGGAGGCAGGGTGGCGGGACCGGTGAGCAGGTGCCTGGGACCAGTGCCTGAGGACAAAGAATATCCC